CTTCTTGAGAGATTGAAACTTTCCTGCCTCGAAAAGTGTCTCAATCTTAAAGGAGTAGTTCACTTTTTAAAAAACTTTTGCTGATAATTTACTCACCCCCATGTCATCCAAGATGTCCATGTCTTTCTTTCTTCAGTCGAAAAGAAATTAAGGTTTTTGATGAAAACCTTGCAGGATTTTTCTCCATATAATGCACTTCAATGGGAACCAAACGGTTCTAGGTCCAAAAGACAGTTTCAGCGCAAACTGCAAACTGTTCAAAGGGCTTTAAATGATTCCAGACGATGAATAAGGGTCTTATCAAGCGAAACGATCGCTCATTTAAAAAAAATAACAAAGTTTAAGTTTTATAAGCTCAAATGCTCGCCTTGCTCTGTTCTGTGATGCCCGTTCGTGACTCTCCTGTTCGAACTCGTTCATCAAAATGAATGAATCTTTTTCCGAGTCAATTTGTTCATTTTGTTCGTTGAATGAGCCAAATGACTCGAAAAAAGATTCGTTCATTCTCATGTTTCACTGAAAAGTTTGCACTGAAACGGTCTTTTCATTATGTCTCAAGTGAATGTAAACAACTGAGAAAGAAATCTAAATGAAACGAAAAGTAAATTTCATATTTTACGGTGCTTTTCCTCGTTTTTCGCCTCCCTGCTGGTCTCCATCCATTTTCATGGTATGGAAAATAGCAGTGTAAACATTCTGCTAAACATCTTGTGTTGCACAGTAGAAAGGAGATCATACAGGGTAAGTAAATGACAAAACTATAATTTTAGGTGTTCTTTAAATATCTTACTGAATCTGAAAATTGTTGTGCTTCTACACTGGGACAGACTTACTGCATTAGGCAAATGTATCTGTGACATCATGAGAGTAATAAAAGCCCATTTGCCAGCAGAACTCAGCCAGAACATCCATCCATCCAACAAAGAGTGGTCTTGTCCTGGAGTTACACTGCAGTCACGGGAGTATCGGTGAGTATCCACTTCTTTACTTGAGACAGATTGTCGCCACAGAAGTTGATTCTGTGATGTACCGTCCAATGAGCTGGACAAGTTGCTTGGATTTTGATTTAAACCCTTGTGGATTGAGACAATAAAACTTTCTGAGACGGTGAAGAGATGTTTCATATAGTTGTTGTTCAGTCCTTTTCGAATTTGCATGCATGGGAGAGGCAGCGAGCCACAAGGAAATCAAGTGACTTGCCTTAAGTGTCAGGGTGACGGATGCAGCACAATGGAGCAGTTGTAGAGGTTTAAGATGCGATGGCCTTGTACAGGGAATCCTGTCGGTGTCCGCAAGGGCTTTACAAAGAAGTAAATGAGGATAATTGGACTGTAAACATTTGATAAATGATTAATGCTACCATCCCATTAAACAATAACTCTCTGATTTATAAACCAAAGGTAAATCAAAGAGATAAAACTTAGTTATAAAGAGCTTTTAATATTGGGCAATGAGACAATGCAATGGCTTTGTGAGCAAATCAATTGTCTATTCTAGTCTGTCCCAGGACAGAATTGAAAACATCACTGTGTAGCCACGTTTCAACTTTGCTGAACTATGACAAGGACGCCTCCAGTTCTGCGTGTGAGTTCCTTGTAAATGTGTTTGTTGAGGAGGGCTCAACAAAAAAGAGAGAGAGAGAGAGAGAGAGAGTGAAGCAGATGAACACGAAACACATTGTCACTGTAGTGACTCCTTTATTTTGTATGTTTTCTACATTTACAAATTTAGAAAAAAAATTCTAGCTACACTTAAAATTTAGGTAATTCACACAAAATGCGCATGTGTGTGCTGTGTGAGTCTTCATGAATATTGAAATATAGGATGCATAAGTTAACCACATTATTTGATGGAATTAACTGTCTGATATGAAATGCAAGACCATTTTTTTAAAATAAAACTTTCACTGAACTTCAGCCCTAAAACATACACTACTGTTCAAAAGTTTAGGGTTTGTAAGATTTTTGTTAATGTTTTTAAAAAAAGTCTATTATGTTCACCAAGGCTGCATTTATTTGATCAAAATACAGTAAAAACAGCAATAGCTGTAAAATATTATTACAATTTAAAATAACTGATTTTATTTTGAAGTATTAAAAAAAAAAATTAAACAGCTGTGCTGCATTATGATGCATTTTTTGGGGGGGAGGGGGGATTCATTGATGAACAGAAAATATATGTATGCGAATATATTAATTTAATGAATTTTACAATAGCCTAGTCACTTTGCTGTCACTTTTGATCAATTTATTGTGTCCTTGCTGAACAAACAAACAAATAAAAAAATATCTATTATGTTCACTCTGCTTTTGGGCCAGGGAGAGAGGAGGCATTGACAGATGAGAAGAAGAATCAGAGATTTTTTTTGGGGGGGGGGGAGATGTGTGGAGACAGGAAATAGATTGGAAGTGTGATATGGGATCAAAATCCCGCCAAATGTATTGCGGCCACGGATCAAAAAATAATAAGCGTGATTCAAAACTGTAAAAACACATGTAAAATATACCGTATTGCACAAACTGGAGGAAAAAAAAGTTAAATTATCAGAGAAGCAAAGGACGTGGTCACGGATCAAAATATAATAGCCTGCATGAATCAAAAAATAACAAGCATGAATAAAAGCTTTAAACACATTAAAAAATATATTTTTCACGAAACTTACATTTATTGTATATATATATTTATGTTTTTCGTTCTTCTTATGTTGCAAGTCAAGAACTAGTGTAGAACTAGTGGACCAATGGTGACGCTTAAATCCGCCCTAATTTACATAACTCGAACTGCAACATTTGGAAGAGCAAGCGCAGAACACGGAAAGGAGAGAGAAAAACATAAACATACATTTAAGTTTCGTGATGATTTTGCATTTTTTTCAGTTTGTGCAATATACATTTTTTACATGTGTTTTTACATTTCTGAATCACGCTTATAATTTTTTGATCCGTGGCCACAATATATTTGGCGGGGGTTTTTGATCCCATAGTGTGACCCAAAGTAAGATTTCATCAGTGGCTTTCATGAGCCTGTAAGCCCTTTAAATGATGTGTGACAGAGCACAGGCTTATGAACCAATGTGTGTCTCGGGATTGACTTGCCTGACGCACTCATCATCCTCATTGCTGTCAGCAGCGAGAAGCCAAATGCCTATTTTTCGGAAAACTTTCAGATCCCTTTTAACTGTAGCCTACAGATACTGCTATGATTGTTTATATTGGACATAGCATCATATTTATCCCAAAATACTTTCAGATTGGACGGATAGGTTGGTTCTGTTTGATTAGGCTAATTGATGTAATGTAGGTGTGAAAATGTACAGTAGCCTAGGCCTACTGTGATTGACAGTGTTTTACAGGAGTGCTCCTGAAAAGTCTTGTGACTCTAATTGTTGTTCCTGCTGACATTACAGTTCATGTAATAAGATAAGCATGAACATTCAATGGCTGCTCAGAGTCACAAGATACCGAGGAAAGAAACACTGTTCCCACCAAAGTCAAGGTTCCAGTAAAATACACTCAGCTGTTTCATTTGGTTAGTTTTGCACAATGGTGAATAGTAATGATCATTTACTCAGTTACTATGCCAAAGTGTTTCATTGTAAAAAAAAAAAATGCATTTTAATGTTTGGAAACTTTTTTTTAAGTGAAAAAAAATCAAGAGAGACATGATATCTAATTTGTGAATGAATCATTTTTTTTTTAATCCGCTTCTTTTAGATTTGATTCACAAATTGCACTGAATGATTCAGTTGTGAATTTAACTGACCCGATTGCTGTGATTAACAACTCACAGATTCAGTGATCTGATTGGAGCAAGTCTTGTTAACGAGCAACCGAATTGGTGTGGTCTCGTTCAAAATGAGCAAAGATAATATGACCCTTTTCTCCCAAGTTCACATCAAGAAAAAAAAAGAAAGAGATCCTGAAAGCTTGTGTGTGCTGACACCTCATAATTCATAACAATGCCATAGCTCTAATCTTAAATTCAATGCTTTGCTAAATCATAATTCTGAAAAAAATAGTCAATTATGACTTTTTATCTATTATTATTTCAATTATGTCATCTTTAGATTTTATATCTAATAATTATGAATTTGTATGTGTAGCTGGTCTTACTCGAACCACTCCTAGTTTAACTCGAACAGGCTTCTCCAGCATGGGAGGTGGGAGAGATGGTCCTCACTGCAGAACACGAAATCCAGGAGGAGGAGTTGGATCCAGATCTAACTCCTCCCACCTTACATACCTAAACATACCCATCTCCGCCCTTTGACCCTAACCCCACCCCTAATCCTACCCATCTCCACCTCCTGATACCTAACCCCACCCCTAATCCTACCCATCTCCACCCCCTGATCCCTAACCCCACCCCTAATCCTACCCATCTCCACCCCCTGATACCTAACCCCACCCCTAATCCTACCCATCTCCACCCCCTGATCCCTAACCCCACCCCTAATCCTACCCATCTCCACCCCCTGATACCTAACCCCACCCCTAATCCTACCCATCTCCACCCCTTATATCTGGATCCAACTCCGCCCCCTGGATCTCGTGTACTGCAATGAGGTGCTACTGGGCGGGTGCGCTAAGAAGTACACTAAAGACTGCAGTCTGTAGCATCAGGCACCAGTTCAAGATTTGTGTACTTCATCCACCACATTGAATTAATAAGCAGTTCATTCCTGAGACAAAAAGTCTTTCATTGCCATGAAATAAGATGGCAAGGAAGACAGAGCAAAAAACACATCAGTTAAATCAGTTAACACAAACAGAGCAAGTCATGTTTGCCTGTGATTGTCATCTGAAATGAGAAGTAGAGACAGGAAGGTGAAAGAGACAATTAGTGAGTGTAAAACTTTTTACAGGGGAGTGAAAGTGAGGGAGAATTTCCGATAAACACTGGCATAACCTGCATGCCAGAGTCATGCCATCATCAGCATCTTGTGGTCCGCCACAATACACTCCCAATAACATCTCTCTCTCTCTCTCTTTTTCCACAGAATGGGACAAAACCAGGGCAAGGAGGGGGAGCCAGTGCAGGACAACAGCTCTGCAGGACCAGAGGAAAAGGGACCAAGCCCAGACCCTGGGGGGGCAACAGAGGAAGGAAATCCAACCATTGAGACTCACGATGTCGGGACAGATGAGGAGAAAGCAGCCGCTGGAAGGTTGGATGGAGGCCCAGGCAGGGAGTCACCATCACCTACACCCGAGCACAGTTTGGATTCTCATGATAAGGTGTGTGCTCCCACGGATGCGGGGGTTGTGGAGGGAGGGGATGGCGAGAAAGTGGGAGGAAGAAAGAGTAGTGAGGAAGGCAGGGCTGAACCGCTGGCTCCACAGCAGACGAATGGAATCACACAGTCTGACAGCTGCCTGCAAGGCACATGGAAGGCTGGTGAACCTGATCAAGAGAGAAAAGACTCGGAGAGTATGCTGGAAGACTATCTAGAACATCAGGAAAACTTCGGGTGTGACTCACCTGGTAAAGACAGCGTTGAAAGTGCTCACAAAGGAGAAAACAGGAGTAAGAAGAGTGCTTCCGTAAAGGACGAAATGGAATCAGTTTGTGGAGATGACGACAAGCTAAAGTGCCAAGAAGGGGACAGAAAACAAGATTTTGATGCTGTGGTGACAAATGCCTGGCCTACTTGGGAGATTCTGGAATGGAAGGACATTTCAAAACCATGTGGTGGAGACGCCAACACCAACGTCCACTTTATGGTTCAAGACAAAGCTTTGGTCATTACCGAAAATGTAGAGTTGAAGACCAGCATGACTGAGTCGCATAACAAGAGGCCGTTTGACAAGCCCAGCACATCAAACCTCGTGATGAACTCACAAATGGAGACATCAAAGGACACTGATGCAATTCAGCAAGTCAAAGAAGGAATAAGGGAGAAATCGCCAGCGAATCCAGATGAGGTTGTAACCGAAACTCCAAAAACTGAACATTCTTCCCAGAAGAACGTCGAAACCCAAGGGCGGTCAATGAAGGATGTCTGCGGAGCCAGAGAAAATGTTAGGCCTACTTGGTGTCAGCCAACAGATGATGTCATGAAGACCAGATTTACTAGTTCATTGCTGGCAGGTGCGGATTTACAAAACAGAGCCGTGCAGAGCCCAGAGGACCTCAGCCCCTTAGAAGTGGCATCCAAGTCACCTCAGGGTCACACTGAGAGCCATCGACAAATACCTGCAGGCGAATTCACACAGGATGAGCTTCAGAAAGAAAGGCAATTTAATGTGTCAGACTTGGAGAGCCCTAGGACAAAGGAACCTTCACTTGAGAGATCACCCGCTGGAGGTCATAAAAATAAAGATGGCATGAGAGAGACTGAAGAAAGAGAAAATCTGGAATCTGCTTCAAAGGGTCTCTATCGTTCCCATGCAAAGAAAACCGAGATAAAAGATCTTTCTCTGCGTGGAACAGAAACGGAAGAGGTTTGTTTTGTGACAACTAATACTGCCAGTGCAAGTATGCTGGGTGAAAACAAACCCTGGCCACAAAGCTATGAAGATGAGAAATGTATTACATTCTCTGAAGCCATTACGGATTCATACCCCCCTTCTAAATCTGATGTTCAAGTTATGCAAAAAGATGAAAAAGAGGATTCCCCACTTTCAGCAAAGGCTAAAGTACACACAGAGATAAGTCTAGAGAGTCGACATACAGTGATACAAACCCTTCCAGAGACGGTGAAGGATACTAAACATAGGATGGATCTAGAAAGTACATCTTCTTTAAATGCTGTGATTGATGTAGAAGATGCTACTAAACAGCTGAGATTAGAGAGGGATGCTAACGCTAACTCGGGCGACATGACAACACCCGAAAGAGACAAGGTCGGCAAGAATACCATCAGCTCAAAAACGGATGCGTGTAAGGAAACATCTGCAAATACTTTCATCTCTGAGCTCATTGCTGGTCCTGAGACAGCTTCAAATCCCATAGATGACAGGCCGGGCATGGACAAGAAAACAGAAGTTACTCTGTCTGGTTATTCTCAACAAGAGCATTGTTTTTTGAATATTTTAACAAATGCATCAACCTATTCCATTGTAAGCCAGACAGATCAGGTCCAGGATGGTTGCAATGCAGGATCTACATTAGCAGACAGTGCAGCGAACACATCTGTTGCACAAGATGTGCAACATTCCTCCTCCATGTGCAACCTAATAAGTATGCAAGCTAACGAGAAACGAGATAAAGAGCAGAACAAGCTGTCGACACATGCACATTTTCATGTGTTAGACGAGAAACATATAAGTCAGCTTGACCTCAAGCACACAATAGAAAGCGACCTGACCACCGTCATGGAACCACCGCAGGGTGCACAGAAAAGACATGTTTCAGATATGATAAAGGAAACTATTGAGTTGCAGAAGAAGATGAAGGAATGGACCAAGCCAGCTGATGCCTGGGTTGATCTGACCTTAGATCCAACGCAGTCTGTGAAAGTATCACAGATGAAAGCAGCATTTGATCAACCAAAGAAATCACCTGACAAAGCACTAGAGAGAAAACCTTCAGTGAGAAAAGGTAGGAACATTTCTGAGAAGGGAGTTGTTTATGTGATGCAGGGACTCCTTGCTTGGATGATAGAGAGATGTTGCAGAAACCCCATGAGTTGCAATGTGTTTCATATTATACCAGACCTATATGATATATGCTTGTAGTATCTGTATCTATAGAGGAAAATAATGAAATTGTTAATTTTAGCACAATGGTGCCATCTTGTGGCAATGTTCATACAGAAAATCAACCTCAAAATAGGTTGTATGTTTGGGGGAAAGCCAAACAACTATCCAAAATTCATTGTGTTATCATTATGATAATATCACCTTACCAATCGATATTTAGTGTTCACTGACTTCACTAACTGCATGACGTCGTCACGCTAAACTGGGTTCTGCTAGTAAGCGCACTCACGTCGACAGTCGACACTGTCGTCCACTGAGTCTGACTCCACACACTCAAGTTCATACCTGTTTACGCTCTGTGTGGGCAGGGCTAAGATTCGTATGTTTTGTGATTGGTGATTTTTGATGCCACTCAGTGTCCGTTTATCCAATCACGTTCTTTGTTGGGCGGAGACAACAAAACAAGGCGTGGCTTCCGGCGAGTCTCGGACAAGTTGAGTGAGGCAGAGCCATAGGGAACATTCGCGCGATCAGGGAGTGCTGCGGTAGAAAGCGAAATTAAAGTCGGACTTGGAAATATTTTTTTCTACGACAGCTGAGAAGGTAAGAATAGGCGCAAACTCAATCTGTCACCTATTTTTTATAACATGAGGCAAAGATTGTATTGGTGTGCGTAAGTTTAAGAATCTGTCCATGCGAAGGGATCATGGCAGCGTGGATCAGGCCAGATGGGCTGATCTGCAATGCTCAAAACAGGGGGATTGCTTTAATAAAATTCATGTTTCATATCTGAACTGAACCTGATGCTTTCAGGGTGAATATGTAATGCTTTGATTTGTATGGATGGATTAAGTAACGTAACTCATTTGCCTCTGTTTGTGGGAAGCAAAAGTAGCTGCATCTGGCTCTCTCTTTTCTAAGTTTAGAATATTTGAATTAATTATAATTGCAGGCCTAATAATAATATATAATGTTGGAAATGTATAACTTTTCTGTTTTAAGTGTCTTAGTGTATAATGTAGTCTTGAAATCAGTAGTGTGAAATGTTCGAGTATTTATTTGCTGAGCACATTAGAGGAATTAGAGAGCGAGCGATCACTAAACAAATAAAGCTAACTTCAGCCACTTTAATTTGCCATATACAAGCGAATTTGACATAGCTTATTTTTTTTTTGGCAACGCCTAACTTATCTTATGTTGGAACTGTCAGTCTAGTCTGGTTTGACCTGTATTTACAGCTCAGAGCAACCATGAAAGTTTATGTCAGTAACGTTACAGGAGTGTCAAGCCTAGGGACAAGTGATCTCCAGCAGATATACAGAGTCATCAAATTATTTTAATAAATCAGTGAGTATGCCGAGGGAAATGTAGATGAATATAAAGTAAATTATATCAGTGGCCAAGACTTGTTTAAATCATTTGATTTATTTTCCTGTAGGTGTGGGTTATCTTGTCATATCTGAGAGGGCGGATGCATTATAAACTATTTTTGATACTTAAAGGGATAGTTCACCCAAAAACAAGATGAAAGCCTAAATTAGATCTATTCATCATATAAAGCGATCAAGTCTCTTCAGAAAATCTGGAATAAACCACTCAATTCATTTGGATTAGATTTACGACCTCTTTATGAACTTTTTGAAGCGTCAAAGTGGTAGTTGCGTAGCTGTCAATGGAGGCACAGAAAGCTCTCAGATTTCAACAAAAAGATCTTCATTTGTTTTCCAAAGATGAGCGAAAGTCTTACGGGCTCGGAACGACAAGAGGGTGAGTAAATGATGACAGAATTTTCATTTTTGGGTGAACTAACCCTTAATACAATGTGATGTCTGTGTGGAGGGTTTCTTAAAGGTGCACTCAGTAATTAATTTTTTTAAGTTTTACACAGAGAACTGAACTGGACTATCAAGAAATGTCATTGGTATGATGATAAACGTGGTATGAAGACTCAAGTCAATATCAGTATTCTAGAAAACGCAGGTCGCCCCTTTATGGGTGCTGCCATGTTGACATCACACTATTGGTCTTGTCGTGACAGTTTCTAATAATGAGTTTAACATAAAACGGAGCTGAGATTGAGAATAGAAGTGGGGCATTTTTTTTTAAATCTGAATAAAATGGTTAAAGGTGAGCAGAAATTTGCTGAGTGTGCCTTTCATGCAATGTGGTTTCAGGTTAAAGTTTTTTTTTATTTATTTTTTTAAAGAAATTTTATAGCCTTCCATTTTCTTTAAAGCACTTTTTTTTCTATGATTGCAAGAAATGCCAAAATGTTTCTTTAATTTCAATTAGAAATACAATAGCCTTTGGTTAATATTGTTCCATTCAGCATGACTCAACCTCAGCTTACTTTCTATCCCTGTACTGTACTTTTTACTTCTCAAATTAACCTTTTGTCATCTCAGAGGCAGAGAACAAGTGTTTGGGCTGCTACACCCGGTTAGTGTTTTAGTGAATATTATGTAGCGTGCAGGGTTTTCTGTGGTTACCCATGTGTCAACCACACTGAAATATTGTCTGGCTTGTTTCAGTTTGACTCAAAACTTGCCAGGGCAGCAGGAAAGAATATAAAAACATTGAAACCTCAAATACTGTGACATATTTAAGGCATAAAAAAAAGTTTTTTTCGAGAAATCTAAGAAAAAACAGATATATTTTGGATTGGTGCTGTCTGTTTGCAGTATTTATATACTGGTTGTTTAACTTTTGACTGCATTTACAATTCCATTTCAAATTCAAATTAATTTAGAATGAGAAGGATAAAAGTTATGGTACCCTTTTAAACCAGTTCTAGACCAGTCTTTGTTCTTGTTTAGCCATTGCTGGTGCATGATAGCTTTAGGCCACGCTGAAATCTTCACAGGGTAATGTTTGGGCTGGCCGTCAGAATGCATCAGGCTGTTTATGCGTATGGACGTCATTGCATCGGCCACTCTGTGCCTGTTTCCTTTTGCTCCTTGGGAAATGGGTCAGGATGCTGGGTAAAATTAGTCAGGAGACGCAGGAAGTTGCCGCAAGGCTGGAGAGGATGCAGCTTCGGCTGTGTGTGTGTAAGAGAGATAGAGAACCACAACTGGACATATATAGGCAGAGGGAATCTGTTGAGAGTTTTAAGGAAGTCTTGTTTCCTCTAAATACAGACAGTTTCAGGTTGCATTTCACATTTACCAGTTAAGGTTTTTGTGTTTGGTGCACGTCCTTAAGGCTGTATGCGTCAGAGTTGAGCTTTGCGATGGATATCTCATCATCGGCAGGTATCCAGGGTTAAATGCAACTCTTTCAAGACTTTGATTACCTTTTTTTATGGCAGGTTAGAAGAGTTGTTTTGGAGGTATTGACATCTCAACCTTTTTTTTCATTCACTTCTATTCATTGTTTCCTGCATGGCAATTAGCTGCATTGTCAAAATGTCACCTTTTACAAGCCATGAAAGCACATTCAAATGTGATCGTGTCTACAAGAGGAGGACTTTTGTTGTTGTTGTTGATTATGCGACTATGGATCTTCAATGGATTAACAGATCTAGCTCTATTCTGAATGTTACCTTTCATGGCACTTTATTCGTTGTAAACTGGTGTTGGTTGTCCGCGTTGTGAATTTCATGTGTAGCACTGCAGCTTATTATTTATGCATTTAAGCTCACACAAAAAGTATCTCAGGTAATGTTTATCAGCTTTATTTATGGCTTTGCATGAGCTTTGCATGACCTATAATATAGTGTATGTATGTACAACATGACATCATGACTTTTGTGTAAACATACACACCACTTTCAAGTCAAGTGGCGTGTTATCCATACGCATTTTGAGCTATCCGCGTGTATGCGTTTGTCTACGCCGTTAAATGTCCGAGTGATTCCGCGTGTATGTACACGCTGTTAAATGTCCGCGTGAAATGAAGCAAAATGTAGATCTACATCTGGGGAACGATATTTCTTTTCCTAGGATTGTAGGGGAAGACTCATAAATGGGATTAACCCCAGTGATGGGTAGGTTTAGGGACTGGGTTGGGGTAGGTCATATAGACCATTTCACAAGATGTAAACAACACTGGTCCAGAAACACTTCCTGTTTCAGTTTGTAACTGTTTTCTTTATTTCACATGTAAAGAAAACATCTTAAAGATGTTTGTTTAACTTTTTGATTCAGTTTTAAATGTTCTGTTGGTTGTAATTCATCCCAGCTTTTATGTAGTGTTAAAAAACTGAAACAGGAAGTGCTTCTGGACCAGTGTTGTTTACATCTTGTGAAATGGTCTATATATACAGTATAGTAACGTTAAGTCAACGGCGTATTTGTGCTGATAGCACGCCAAAAATGGAAATACGAATTGGCGTGTTATGCACACGCAATTTCATGAGATCAGTCTGGTATGTATTATTGAAAATTGCAATGGATAATTCGCCTCAGATCTTGAAACGATAAATGAAACAAAAGAAGCACTTTGTCAACTCAATGTCAACAAACAAGTGTATTCTATGACAAAGATTGTTTCCGTCACTCACTATGTAGTTTTAATAATGTTAAAATTGGTCTGCGCCCTCTGTGCAGCACTGCTTTAAGTCGAACACACCTAACGCTTTCTCTAATGTTAGACCTGATTACTAGCCGAATAGTTGGCTGTTGTTGTTTAAGCAATGTAGATGATCGCATGCGGCAGAGATTCTCATAGCTTGAGCTTGTGAAAGGCAGCAGTATCTTAGCTGAAATTCCATTACATTTGCCCTGGAGCAAGAAGAGGATTTAGGAGGTGTCAACCCCCTTCTGTATTTCCAATGGCAAATGGCAGGATCATTCAGAGTGGCCCGTGACTCATCAGGCTGTTATATGCATTCATCATTTTACTTGCTCTCATGTGGACCAAAACCCGTAGACTTTTTTCTACCACTAAACCACACAC